CAGGAAATAGCTCTGAAGCTTTCAGTGAGAACACACGGAAGAACTCAGAGACAGACACACTTCATTAAGCCAGCTACACATTCTCTGCTGCCAGTCCAGCCTCCTGGAATTGATTGCCTGGGGCCAATTTAGACAATATGAAAGCTGTAATTCACACAATACTACAAAACCTTACAATAAGCACATATTCCAAACACCTTACAAAAGTATGTTGTGAACTATGTGTGTGCCTCACGGATTTATCCTCATCTTTGTGTTCCCAAAGGAGCTGAGGCCCCATTAACGCACGGGGCAGCTGGATCTCTTCCCCAACACAATACAGCACTCAGAAGGATGACTGACTTAATAGAAAGCAAAACTCTGCCTCATCAAGAGACATATCACTCTCAGAAGAAAACACTTGAGATTTGCAGAGAATCCAGTCGAGTACACATCCCACCTTGCCCTCACAGGGTGTGCCTTAAGAGATACTTGTTTGTTAATGATAACCCCACACTTAATTCAGTCTTAAAGAGACCTCAGGATACTTCAGAAGAGGAGGCCTGCAGCATTATTGCTTATTTCAGACACAGAAACCAAAAGCAGTGGCATGAATTGCTTGCTAACATTCAGAAGACAAGAAAAACAAAATACATCTCTTGAATCTCTACAGAAGCATTTAATAGCAGACAGAGTACTAAACAAATTAGATTTTGCACCAATCACATTACATTTTTGATGAGAAAGTAAGGTTTCAGCCCTCATTACTAAGATGATCTTTAACCTCCCTTCTCTAGCCACTTCGACACTTTTAACCATGAGATACAATTACTTGCATATTTAAACTAATATTTTTAAACAATAGTTTGGATTGGAAGGGATCTGTAGAGGCCACCTAGTCCAAGCTCCCTGCAATGAGCAGGGACATCTTCAACGAGATCATGTTGCTCAGAGCCCTGTCCACCCTAACCTTGAATGTCTCCAGGGATGGGGCATCTGTGTATAGACTGTTGTACATAAAAATGCTGCCCAGTGCTTAGCTGAATAAGCATGGTAGTGTTCTGAAAGGTTTACTTACATGTAGTCTGCCTCTAAGCTCTCTGTCGTTCCTCATTTTGACATAGATTCGCTCATCTAGACTGAGTCTGATGAGATCAAGTGGCTCCTCTACAGTATTTGTTGTTTGTTGCTAAAAAAAATGAAAAGTTATTTGTACAGAAGAAGCCTGTGAACTTTTCCATTCCACTGTTTGTGAGACACAGAAAACAAGTAAGAATATAGATTAAAGTATTCCAGATCATTCCTTCACACCCTGTTGAACCTGAGTGCAGCTCATATTACCACTCTACTGGTATCCACCAGCCTGAGCAAAACAAGTTAGAAGACTTCAGTTTGCAGCAAATCATGCCTCATGCATACTGCTGTACAAACGACCTTTCTTACCAGCAACCACTGTCCATACTACAGCAGAAAGGCTAATCTGCATGAACCAGCCAGCTTATGGACCAGCATCACACCTGTACCATCACAAAAGCCAAACACATGTCGCCATTTTTGCCAGCACCCATCAGTCAGCAGGGTAACACACCGCCCCTCCTGCCCCACACACACACCTCCCCTTGAGGCTCAACAACACAGCAGTCATGTCAGGCCTCAAAGCAGGTCAGAAACCTGTATGCACACCGGGCTGCAGTATCTTTTTTATGATAAGGGCGTACTTTCAGCATCACAGCTAAAATGCGTGAACATTTTCGTGCACATCCCGCGGCATGCTACTTATTTCCTCCTCAGTGAGGCAGAGCCGAGGGTATTTTCCTCAGTTGCTTTCCTCCGTTTCCCTCCTCCGGCGGTTCCTGAGGGAAGCAGGCCCTGCCCGCGCTCCTGACAGCCCCGGCGGCAGCACAAGGACCGAGGGGCTCCGCGTAGCAACTCCATTTCACACCGAACGCGCTCGCCCCGGGGGGGTGCGCCTCAGGAAGGCTGCCCAAGCCGGGGGCTCTCCCGGGCGGTACGCCCAGCCCCAGCGGGGCAGCCTAAAGCCTGCCTCCATCTTAG